CGCTGCAGGTGGCTATTGGCACGTTGAGAATGGTGTGCACATCAATGAATGATTTATATGTTGCAACGTTTGCATGTGCAGGCAGCATTTTGGGGACTCCTTTGAAGAATTGAGCTTCTTCGTCGATCAGGAATAGCAGGGGGAGGTGGTCAGACGAAAGCTCGGTGAGCAGACTAACCGAGACCTGTTGTTGTCTAAAGCCTTTTGATATGCCAAAGTCAATTGCACTGGGGGTACCGTTTGCACGGTAGGGGTAGCAGGTGGCTTCTCCAGTTGCTACAACATCGACGTTGTCGTTGGTCAGAATAGAGCTGAGAGTCCGACCTCTGGCACACATCCTGTAGTTTCCCCACCATCTGTGTTTGGCATTCCAATCACCTGCGGCAAGAAATTTGACTCCGAGTTGGGAGAGGAACGTCGCTATAATATCTTCTGTCCACCTTACAGCGGGAGGGCAGTACAATGAAGCAATGTTAAACCTCCCACTACTTGACTTTACCTCAATGGAGACGGCTTGTATATAGTCTTCCGAAAGAGTAAAGGACTGTTGATGGAAAATGCCCGACTTAACAAGGATAGCTGCGCCCCCATGACTCCGGCCGTCCGGATGATCGGCTTTGTACAAAGTGAAGCCTGGGATCCTAAATGTGGACCGCGAGTAGAGGCGGGTTTCTGACAACAAGAGGATGTCTATTTCGTGTTGCTCAATGAAAGCAATGATCTCGTTTGTTTTTGAGCTTAGCCCATTGGGATTCCAGCAGGCTATTTTAAGCACACCCATTGTGGAGAGCAGAGGAGGAAGGGCGCGTCTGCAGTATAGCTTGCATTAGTGTTTCTACAAGAGACATCATCCTGTCGAGCCTCGTGAAAAGCTGTTCCAGTTTGGATTCCAGAGTAGCATTAGCTGTGGAATGAGTCGGGGGGTTTTCCGTCTCTTTGCGAGGGTGGCTGTATTGTGGAGTGTGGAGGTTTTTTCTGGCTACACTAGCAAATGATTCTTTACCAACGTTGGGTAAAAAATGGGATGGAGGAATCGTGTTAGGTTCTGCGGCTGCTGAGACCTTCAGTTGATTATTTTGCTTAAATGCAACTTGTAGGTATTTGCGGCATCCTCTAAAGTTTGCCGCGTGAGAGTTACCGCAGTGATAACAATACCTAGGGTCATCTTCTCCAAGCTTGCACTCCACCGTTGGGTGATTATCTCCGCATTCTCTGCATATATAATGCCGTGTGCAGTAAGCTTTGGTATGTCCGTATTCCTGACATCTATGGCATTGTACAGGACCGGATTGTTTGCGTGGCTTCTCCCAGGTCACTATGTGTCTACAGACCGCCGAGATGTTTTTGATAAGCTTGTTGTTGTCAGCTTTCTTGAAGTCCACAAACCTCATGTTTAGTGGGCGCTGTGTCGTCTTATTACGAGGGGTATAGATACGTATAACGCAATGACCCTCTGCCTGCAGGCATTCAATGATATCCTCCGAAGGGACGTCGTGGTGAATGTTTCTCATTACCATGCGAAAAGGTCGATCTTCTGGCAGCTGGTGGTGATGGAAGACAGTTCCTTTTTCGCGGAAATGTCTGGCCAAGAGCCTGTAGGCGTCAGAGGAGTTGCACTGAACGGCGCAATCACCTGAGTTCAGCGCTTTGATGGAGTAAGTGTTTCCAATAAGAGCATCCAGCTCACTGCAAAAAGCAGAGTAGCTGACCACACCGGGAACCATAATCCTTGGAACCTTTGGAGATCGAGCGGCTTTCGGTGCAGTTGTTTGGACTTGTCCTGAGATGTTGGATATTTCCGGCTGCAGAGCTGCGTCACACATCGTTGCAGTGCGGTTTATCGCAGCTTGCGAATTGGAGGCTTCGACGTCCATTTCTTCTTCGTCACTTAGTGTAATGAAGCGATTTTCAGAATTATCAGTATAGCTGGTTTTCTTACTGACCTTAGGAGAGAGAATAGTACCAGCTCTCTTCTTAGCTACGCCTTTCTTTGGCTTCGCGGTGACTTGCTGCCACCCTGGCGTGGAGTTGCACGCTGACGTGCTAATAGGTGCAGGATTTGGCCTTGTGCTGGATGCAACAGAGCATAAACTGCCACCCAGACTTGTTGTGAACGTCACAGGAGTTGAGATTGAGGATGTCACGGTACAAGTTGTAACGCAGCTTGTGGGAGCCCATTTGGTTGTACTGCTAGTGTTAGAGCCGCCGTCCAGCAAGCTAGCTCGCAAGCTAGTTCGTAGTTCGGCAGGAGATACTCCTGCAGTCTTCCTCATCGATTCCACATCGATGTGTTGTTGTTGTTGTCTGTCCATTTTGAGCAATTAACAAAAACCTAGTGGAGGTTTCCAATTGCTTTTTGGCATTGGCATTCTATTCTGGCGGTACGTGGGAAACGTTGGTACCACTTCGACGAATGCGAGGACCGCCTGAGAGCGCGGTTGTGTTGGAACAATTAAAATAATTTGTTGTCTTTGTATTGTGCTTTTATTTTCAGCAGAGTGACCGTATACGATAAACTGGAACAGCTATTTGGTCCCACCACTGTCAATATCAGTGAAAATTATTCACATTTACTAATAAATTGATATGCAAATTTTTGCTCAGAATCACGTCGCACACACTTGCGTTCATACACCACGAGTACTGTAGGACTAGGCCTCACTGTCTGTACGTTTATTAGGACTCAGTTTTGTCTTTTAACTGTGAAAACACTCCGAAACTAAACACCACGTTGAGTTCCTCTGTAAGCACATCCGTACTCGATGAGAGCTGTCAATCGAATAAAAAAACCCCTCCCCCAACCCCCCCATTTAAATAAAAATCTCCTTTTCCCCAAAACCAAAAGGGGGAAAAGGGGGGAAAAGGGGGGGAAAAGGTAAAGAGTCAATAAAATTCTCCTCCCTGGGGGGGTTTTGGGTGGGGGGGGGGTGGGGGTGGGGGGGGGGGGGGGGGGGGGTGGGGGGGGGGGGGAGGGGGGTTTTTTTTTGGGGGGGGGGGAGGGTTTTTTTTGGCGGGGACCCCCCCCCTCCCCCGTTAATTTCTATGGGTTTTAAAATTTTTAAACTTGGTAGAAAAAGTGAAACATCATAAAAAACAAAAAATATAACACTAAAGTGGGAAATTAAAAAGTCAAAAAAGTTGATAAATCAATTTTTGAATCATAGACAAGTACAATATTTTCCTATTGTACTTTACCCAATCGACTTTTAATCAAATGCTGACCAGACTAGTACTGATTTTTGTTAGATTCAGTGATCTGTTGGGGCCACAGGTGGGTTAAGCCAGCTGCCACATGCGAGTGGTGCAAGTGGGGCAAACTGAGCAAAACTGAAGCAACTGAGGCGAGTGGAGCAGGCAAAACAGCTCGCTGGGGAACTGTAAATCACGTCGAGCGCAGAGCGCAAATTGGTTAGTGAAACACATGAACCATTCATCAGGGGCAGGGGGCGGATCGGGGGACTCACACTCACACACATGAGTTGGCAGCCGGCTAAATTCGCGCTTTTGAAAAATGAAAGCAACTGAAAAGCACAGGAACACACGCAGAAGTACGAACGTTGCAAATGTAATCTGCAGGTGGGGGCAAAGAGAAGTGAATGGAAGGTGGAAGGTGCATGGAAATCATATTATCCTTAGGTGGGATTAGTTGCTCCTCGCCAAAGCAGAGAGAGAAAATAATAGGTCAAATAAATACTAAATACTAAGGGCAACGAAATGTTTATTAATGTAATCTGGAATGTTGCTAAAATAAAGCTTTAAAAATCGTAATAAACTCAGAAGATACTAAAAACTCTTTTAAAACTGTAACTTCACATCTAAGTTTTATGTCCCTTTATCTGAGAATACTGCAGAATTTTCTGTGTGCATTAGCCGTACGCAGCAGGACGTTCTATCCAACTTAACTCAACTTGAGTCAAGTCATCGCTTGCCTTGCTGAGTCTGCTCTGCTTTACTTCACTATGCTCAAGCTCGCCATCATACACTTTAGTAGCACAAATTGAAAGGAAAACACATCCTAGCTTCCTGCAGAAGCGGCGGGAGCAACAAAAGCGGAAAAATCAGGATGAGCCTCAGCGGCGCTGAAATGCAGCAAATGAAATTTTCCAAGGCCGAAGCGATCGAAGTGAAATTGAAAAAATAATCATAAATATTGCATGCAGCTTGGTCGGGCTCTTTTTGCCATCTATTTTTTAGCCGCTTTCATTTTGATTTTCTTTTTTTTTGCCGATTAAGCGGCGCAAAGTGAATGCAGGCACCGCCGGTTAAGTACACGCCGCGTGGGCTCCACAAAGTTGAGCCCGAAATGCGCACAAGCCGCTTCATGTCATCCCTGGCTCAGTTCCGGATGAAAATGTGTTGGTTCGGGCATGGGTTTCGGGAGGGAAGCATCTCTGCCATATTTACACAGCACTCCACTTCCATGGTGATGCCGCCGCGGGCAAGGAATATTCTAAAATGCTTCGTGTGAAAATAATTTCACGGCGGAAAACAAGGTTAGAGTGTTAAGGGCGAGTCTAACGACAGCGAGGTTATCTCCTACTTTCTGCTGGCTTAAAACGTATTACACTTTTTGACAACTTCATTCCTTAACCTTATCAAAAGCAATATTTTTGTACAACTTTTGTAGATGCGTCACTATTAAATAAACTAGGTAACCTGCACCTTCCCAAAATATCTGAAAAATACCTATAAAAACGATAACAAATGATAATATTTGAGTAAAACAAATAAAACAGAAACAATTTCGTAAACAGAAAACAAATCAAATGTAACTGCTAGATGACGCACATAAGGTAAACTTATACAGTAAACAGTAATCATTTCGACCACGCTTTAAACTGCTTTTGTGTCTGGAACTCGGTTTTACCAAATTACCACAGACTTTTGTGACGTGCCTGAGCAACAGCTGTTTTAGAAGAAATCCGTTTGGCTCTAATGGAAAATTTTGAGAATATAAAAGGGCTTTGGCAGTGGGAAAAGGCATCACAACCAGAGTTTTCACCAAGCTAAGCAAAACTACCAAAGAAAAATGCGTTCCTTCACTTTGATTGTCCTCTTCGCTCTGATTGCCGTGGCTGCCGCTCAAGGTGGACCACAAGGTGGGCAACAAGGAGGCCAGGAAGGACCTCAGAATGGTCAGCAGGGTGGTCAACAGGGTGGTCAACAGGGAGGTCAACAGGATGGTCAACAGGGCGGTCAGCAAGGCAGTCAACAAGAAGGACCCCAAGAAGGACAACAGGGAGGTCCTCAGAATGGCCAGGAGGGTGGCCAGCAGCAAGGAGGACCTGGCGGCTCATGGGGTCTGCCTCCAAACGGAACAATCTCGTCCAACAGCACCACAACTTCAACCACTGAGGCTAGCACCACTGAGGCCAGCACCACTGAGGTGTCCTCAACATAGAATTTACCACTGAGGTGTCCTCAACATAGAATTACCGCATATAATATATAATAATAAACTAATATGAAAACACCACTTCTTGGCTGTCATCTTTACTTTACAATGCTGTCAGCCGATATCCAGATGGGAATTACCAAATAACCAGTTAGTCAGTATACCCAGTGAAGGTGAGGTACACCAACACATTTAGTGGACTAAAAGGTGTTACAAGCGCCAAACGCCGAACAAGGAGAACCGCTTAAAGCGCTCGGGGCTGCTTCAGCATTTAACGGAAAAAGTTTTGCCATTCAAAGCTCCCCTCCTCTTTTTACTAACAGAGCTCGACTCTTTAACATGGTGAAAATTAAAAGTTAAATGCGCAAAGTCAATAAAAGCTGGCAATGGCGATGGCGATGGCGATACTAACAAATGGAAGCAAGAACGCGGCAGTTGGGAAATCCTTTAATGCCGTCGCATTTGCATGGCAATATAGACTTTGGGGGGAGTGGAAGTGACAGGGGATGTGGTAGTAGAGGAGGGTGATTCATCGAGGACAATAGCTCGCCTCTTTGTGTCTTTTGTGCGGCTCTTGTGACTGTTTGCCCAGAGATAAAAACTCGGTTTGGGGCTCTAGCACCGCCGACTAATAAAATGCACTTGCAGGGCACAGGATTCTCGAGGTTTCTCTGGGATGGGATGCGCAATAGGGCGGTCCCTCGGAATGGTTTGCGTTTTGTCTTTGCCGGCTGAGTGGCTGCGTTTGCTTTGCTAATTGATGCACTAGGCGCTTGTGTACTTTCCAATTACCAGGCACCCAAAAAAACTACAGTAGAGAAGTCGTCGGAGCTTAGAGATATAAATCAGGGACAGACTGAGCAGATGGATTTTTACCCATAGACCGGATAGACAGCTGATAAAACCATCAATTGCCGAGCGTGACCAGAATAATGGGAACAGTTTTGTTTCACCCAACACCCCCTTAGCCCAGTTTTCCAGAACCCTCTTAGACTGCAGTTGGTTGGGCGGAAAACAAAAATCAATTGTGGGAAAATATGCAAAGCGTTTTTAATTAAAAATTTGAAGATCTTGGTCGGACGGGGCCCACACACAGCTAAGCTCGGCGAATTATAGAGAGCGAACGCATTGGGCCGTGGATTATGGCCAGAGGCGAAAAATGGGCAAATGTCGGGGGCGGAAAGCATTCCCCAGTTGTTCAGATTTTTTAATTGCAATTGCAGCGCTCATTAAAGCGATAAATTTTCAATGCAGATGAAATTTGCATTTTAATTTGCCCGACCAAGTGGGAGAAGGCGGAACAGGGGGAGCCCTCAATAAAACGAAATTAGTTTCCTACATTTTCCATTACGCACATTGAATTATCACTTTCCCTTCAATATCATAGGAGTAAAGTGGGGTGAACATATTGCTAGGAAGGCGCAGTGTGGCCAGAGCAAACATTGCCCACTTGCTTTTAGCTCTAATTAGTCAATTTATGTCCAATTTGCTAATTTGTGGATGCTCCGCTCTAACTGCTGCGAATGTAACCCGGCAACGGACGCCGGACCACGGACATCGACATATGTATCCTGCTGGTCCTAACCGGGCACACAGTGCGTATGATTAATGTTTAATTGCATTAGCCAGAGTGCAATACACACAGCAGCCTACACAGCTCAAAAGTGCATGCTATTCAAACTTAAAAGTCGTAATGCTCAATTCAGTTTATTCTTAAGTTTAAGTTCCTTTACGAAATCAATAGAAAAGGGCTTAGAAATATGTCTGTGGAGTGCTGCTCATTACATTTTTGAAATCAGTTTAATTTATTTATTATTCATATAAGAATATTATATTTTTTAGTGCACTTTCAAGTACGCATTTCAGACCTTGCTGTCCCAACCGACCAGGGCAAATTAAATTAACATTTATTTATTGGTCCTGCATTTGAAGGACCCAGGCAAACTCATAAATTGCATCCGCTGCTGGTCGAACTGATGAATTACCCACAAAACCCAATAGAATCGAATCAGAAGGCGACAACTCCATTAGCTAGAAAAACCACCCGTGCCACCCACTTCTGTGGTGATAAATAGTCGGACGGACAAGCACAAACGCAAACACAAACAAGACGACGGCGGCAATATTGAAAACGAATCAAGACCAGCTGCTCTGTGACGCGAGTGAAAAACAGATGAATGGATGGCCAGAGCTTTGGACCAGCTCAAGACTCTTTGTCTGTCTTCGGTTTTACCAATTTACAGACGACGTTTATTTGATCGCCAGGCAACGTCACTGAAAACCAGCTGTTTATTCAGTCGGTGGATAGGTGGGGGTATAAAAGGCTTGTCGAACCGGCGGTTAGGTATCACAGTTGAGTTCCACTGATAGATATAAACACCAGACGAGATGCGCTCCTTCATCATCATCGCTTTGTTCGCTCTTATTGCCGTGGCTGCCGCTCAAGGCGGACGTCGTGGCGGACGAGGAGGTCCTCAGGGTGGACCACAGGGAGGCCCGCAAGGAGGACCTGGTGGTCCAGGTGGTCCTGGTGGTCCAGGCGGTCCTGGTGGTCCAGGTGGTCCAGGCGGTCCACAAGGAGGACCTCAGGGAGGACCTCAGGGTGGCCCACAAGGAGGACCTGGTGGTCCCGGCGGTCCCGGTGGACCATGGGGTCTGCCTCCAAATGCCACGCTTCCCAGCAACAGCACCACCACCACAACGACAACTGAAGCCAGCACCTCCACCTCAACCACCGAAGCCAGCACCAGCACCAGCACCGAATCTTCCGCTTAAGCCGTAGAGCTCCATCCAATCTAAAATCCATTTTTGGCTTGTTCTCTACCGCGCTTCCCTTCATATTAATAAAAGTCCTTTCTGCAAGAAGTAAATCTTTCTCACATTTTCTTATACACATTTTGCGCAAGATACTTGCATTACGACTACAGGGAGAGAAATATTGGCCTAAAAATATTCTCTAATTTTTCTTTTATTTTTGAAAACCAGAAATAGTTCCCCATTCTTGTCCAAATCTGGATAATATTGCCTGCAAGAACCTTTGTTCTTACATACTTTATTTCTTTCAGCGCAGCCCAGTGATGGATGTCAGGCTAAGACGGTTGTGGAACGAAGAGGGTGGGCAAGCCGAGGGATTCGGAAATCGAAATGTAACTTGTTCGCCAAGGCCGCATGGTGGCTGACAGCCGGCGGCCATGAGATTCGCTAGGTTCCTGTGACACTTGGAGGAAGCACGTCCTGCAAAAAGGATGAGGGCAGCAGCAAAGCCCGCAATCCATGCAGTCCTTTAAGCCGCATCAGAGAACCGAGCTGCGCTGGCGCTTTTTAAATGTACCTCCTTCACTTGGCTGCAATTATGTCGCCCAGTGAACCCACTTCGTGGGCATAAAAAACAAGCTAAACACTTTATTTATGCAGTCTCGCTTGTCGTTTGTCTTGAAAGTTTTCGCATTAAACGAGCTGAGTTTGCCAAACTATGTGCAATGAAAATGAGTTTCGGTGCCAAAACAGGGAAAACTCTGGCCAAAAGCAAGGGGCGAACTCGCAACAGTTGGCTTCAGGTCCCCCAGACCCATGGAAACTCTTTAGCCGTGGCTTACAAATTCCAAACATTTTCTGGGGGAAATTTGTAGCTCCCACTCGGATTATCCCAGAGGAGCGAGGAGTTGCATGAGAGGATTGGGTGTTATTTCCCGTCATCCAGAACTGCTGTCATTGCCATGGATTTCCTCTCCACTCCCGAATGACTTTAAGCGCCTTAAGAGCCATCGATGCCGGTCTTTTGGTATCTGAGGCAGAAATAGATCAAAAGTCAGACCCACATATACGATGGCCCAGAAGTAAGGGGGAAGGGACAAGGAACAGAGGACAAGGACTGGGACAAAGACGATGATGGAGTTGGAGATGGAGAATCCGACCCGTTGGTGGCACATTTTTATTGGTCATTAGTGCGAGGCTCTATCGGCATTCGTAAGCATTTACACATCGTTAAACTTTCATTTCCGGCAAATTAAGCGCATTTTATGTACCTTCTCCGTTCGGTCGCCCTCAGCTGGCCTCCTCCTCCTCCTTCGCTGCTGACGGGGTCAACCGTTGGTCATAGTCAGCAGAATGACCACAACAAACGGACACCGGAAAAATTTCTTTTCAGTTTAAAATCTAGACATCAGGTCTTAAAACAACCTTAATTAACACTTTCATTACAAATATCGTAAGATGCCGTATAAAATATTTCCATCTTTGATGTGGAAATAAACAGCTAGAATAACTGTGCTAATTGCGATAAGTCACAGTGTTTTCTCTAACTGTATCCAAGCTACCCGACTAGGCTCGTGCTCATGTCCCGGACTTGAGCATATTTAATGGAGGGCAAGCAAATGGGCGCCGCCTCAGGGCGTGTCCCTTTCATTGTTTGTCTTTCAATCGAAAGTCAATAGCAAGGCCTGCCGGAGAAGTATAAAAGGTCCGGCATTGAGAGATGGAAGGACTTTCTCCGATCGCACGATGTCGTTTTGGGCAGTGAGTCGCGGCTTAACGCCGCCTTCAAAGGTGGTGCCCATGCTGAATCCCAACCAGCGCCAGTTTCTGGAGGACGAAGTGCGCTACCGTGAAAAACTGAAGCTGATGGCCCGAGGCGATGCCATGGAGGAGGTGTACGTCCGCAAACAGGATACCGTTGACGATCCCCTCGAGCTGGACAAGCACGACTCGTTTTACCAGACCACAAAGAGCCTCTTGGTGCTCTTTCAGATAATGGGGGTGATGCCCATACACCGCAATCCGCCGGAGAAGAACCTCCCCAGAACGGGCTACTCCTGGGGCTCCAAGCAGGTAATGTGGGCCATCTTCATATACAGCTGCCAGACGACCATTGTAGTGCTGGTGCTGCGGGAGCGGGTAAAGAAGTTCGTCACCAGCCCGGACAAACGCTTCGACGAGGCCATTTACAACGTGATCTTCATCAGCCTGCTATTCACTAACTTTCTGCTCCCGGTGGCCAGTTGGCGGCACGGACCACAAGTCGCCATTTTCAAGAACATGTGGACGAACTATCAGTACAAGTTCTTTAAGACCACCGGTTCGCCGATCGTCTTTCCGAATCTCTACCCACTCACCTGGTCTCTGTGCGTCTTCTCCTGGCTCCTCAGCATCGCCATCAATCTGTCGCAGTACTTCCTGCAGCCGGACTTCCGGCTGTGGTACACATTTGCCTATTACCCTATCATCGCCATGCTCAACTGCTTCTGCAGCCTGTGGTGAGTACCTTCCTTTCAGAATGGCAGTGCCTTTAATGTTCTGTAGAGAGTTTACGTTTATCAAATGTTTTTGTGTGATTTAAAGCTGTATTCTTAAACTGAGTAAGTCTGCGGTTCCAGAAAAATTACACATACAAAATCCTTTAAATCTTCCACAGGTACATCAACTGTAACGCCTTCGGCACGGCAAGTCGCGCCCTCTCCGACGCCTTACAGGTAAAATTCAAAACATTTTAATGTTATAAGTTAAATTTTAGTTGTTCAAATGCAGACGACGATTCGGGGCGAGAAGCCCGCCCAGAAACTTACCGAGTACCGCCATTTGTGGGTGGACCTCAGCCACATGATGCAGCAACTGGGACGGGCGTACTCTAACATGTACGGCATGTACTGCCTGGTAATCTTCTTTACTACGATCATCGCTACCTACGGAAGCATCAGCGAAATCATCGACCACGGAGCAACCTACAAGGAGGTGGACGCCAATTAAAAAATATACCTTTATATTTTAAAACTGAACCAATGATCATATTTATATTCTAGGTGGGTCTATTCGTCATCGTTTTCTACTGCATGGGACTCCTGTATATCATCTGTAACGAGGCACACTACGCCTCCCGGAAGGTAGGACTCGATTTCCAAACGAAGCTGCTAAACATAAACCTAACCGCCGTGGACGCCGCCACACAAAAAGAAGTTGAGATGCTCCTGGTGGCAATCAACAAGAACCCACCTATCATGAATCTGGATGGGTACGCCAACATCAACCGAGAACTAATCACTACCAACATCTCCTTCATGGCGACTTATCTGGTAGTGCTGCTGCAGTTCAAGATCACCGAGCAAAGGCGGATCGGCCAAACGCCGTCCTAGAAAAATTCCATATTCAAAACTAATATTCGTTGTTTATAAGTGATTTATAAGCGATATTATTTATCGAAAGAAAGTTGTAGAGGGTAAATTATTGCTTAAGAATAAAAGCACATTATAAAAAATGTATTTATTGGCATTTTTACTAGAAGGTATTACTCTTGGTACCCCGAGGTATCCCATTCGATATTCTAATCAGGGTGGACCAAATTTCGATCCAAATGTTCGATCCATTTTTTTAAATATATTTTCCGTCTTACCGTTGATTTAGTCGTCTTCGTTCCGATTTGGTCTCAAAAATTTCTTTCAAAATTTCAAAATTTCAAGTTTTTACCTTCCCCTCATAAACACCGATGGAATATGTGCCACCGATGCAAGCAGGACTACAGTGGCAACAGCTACTTGGGCCTACACTTGGGGAGCCAACTATTCCGAGCTTTGATTCTTGACTCGAACTTAAAGGTCGCTTATGTGTCGCAGATCCGCTATGATTTGGATCTGCCCGAATTTAAGACTGTCAATGGAGTGCTGCCAGACAGTGGTCCTGGTGAGTACCTCGCCAATCCAGTGATGTGGGTGAAGGCGTTGGACATGCTAATAGACGGCCTGGCGACACAGGGTGCGGACCTGCACTCGGTGGCCTCGATTGCTGGAGCGGCGCAGCAGCATGGTTGCATTTTCTGGTCGGATATAGGATTAAGGCGATTGTGTAACCTGAATGTGAATCTGAAGCTCCATGAACAGATCACGGAAAGCGCCTTCGAGTTGACCAGAACGCCCACATGGCAGGATAGCTCCACAGACGAACAAGTACGCCAAATGGAGCGCGCCGTCGGTGGTCCCCTTGAACTATCTAATATTACAGGATCCAGGGCGTATACAAGGTTTACGGGTCCTCAAATCCGGAAAGTATACACCAAATGCCCGGAGCACTATGAAAGAACTCCCAAGATATCACTAATCAGCAGCTTTTTGGCCTCGCTGCTCATTGGCGGCATCGCCTCCATAGACTACACTGATGGCTCAGGGATGAACCTGCTTGATATACGGCAAAAGAAGTGGTCTCCAAGAGTGCTTGAACGCCTGTGCTCCTGACTTAGCAAGACGCCTGATGAAACCCATTCCCTCTTCACGACTGCAAGGACGCGTTGCGGACTACTACGTGAAACGGTGGAACTTCAGGCCGGACTGCATGGTTGTGGCTTCTGCAGGAAGCAAAGCATCGGAGCTGGCTGGTCTTCTGGTGGAGACGGACTTCCTGATGGTGTCTCTGGACACCAGCGATGTGGTGGTGATGCCTTTGAAGAAGGCTCCGGTTTTGGAGGAGGGCCATGTGATGTGCCACCCTACCAGGACAGACGAGTACATGGGCCTCCTATGCTTTCAAAACGGAAACTTGGCACGGAAGGCCATTTGTGAGGAGATGGCCAATGGTAGTTGGGTGCAGTTCTATGAGATGCTGGAAACCACTCCCCCAGGCAACAATGGGAATGTGGCTGTGCACTTTAGGGACCGAGAAATAATTCCGATTGCCCAGGGTACATTGCGGTGGGACGCAGACATAGACACACTGACTCAGGAGAGCCTGCGCGGTCGACCCCGACTTGAAACGCCGGAGATCGAGGTGCGAGCCATTATAGAGGGACAGATCATGCACCACTACGCTATTGCTCGCGAGATGGGGTTTCACTGTAAGCCGAAGACCAAGATCATCGTTGTGGGCGAGGACTCCAGGAGCCAAAGTGTCCTACAAATTGTGGCGGACATCTTCAATGCTCCCGTTTACAAGAGAACAGGAGTCGAAGTGAGCTTGTTGGGATGTGCCTTTCGAGCCCGCTACGCCTTCTACGAGCATCGAGAATCCTCCTGCCACTGTAGATCTTGCAGGATGCGCACAGGCAGGGAGCCCAAACTCAGCTATGATGAGTTCTTCCGAAATGTCCCATCCGGCTTGACACTGGCTGCGGAACCAGCTCCGGATAGTGAAAAGATCTACAGCCCCTTGATCGCACGTTGCTCCCAAATCTGCCAAGTGCTGGCAGCCCAATCCAGCGTGCCCTTTATGTCTCAGGGTCAGTGAATTTTAGATAATGAGATGGTGTTCCTTTTCCTTTCTGTGTTTCTATGCAAATCAATAACGTAAAACTAAACTAAACTACAGAGCGATGAAGTACTAAGTCGAAGAGTTCGGCGAAATAGGCCTAGAAGTCTGCGTCCCAGCCAGAGAGCTCGTCCGGCGGCTCGTTTATATCGCACGGGAAGCGGTCGAAGTAGCGCACGTCCGTCGGATGGGCAATGGGTCGAACAAAGGGCGGGATCAGCAGCTGACTGGCCAACCCGTCCCAGTCGAATCCCAGGAACCACCTGACCAATAAAAATAAAAATATATGAATTTTGAAAATATCCTGGAAGGATGTTCTACTCACTTGTGCTTCTTGATATCCTGGATACCACCACTCTGGTAACCAAGGCGCTCGGATGGAACGTCACGGCAGAGGCGCTTTATGAGCTGTACGGCCCAGCGGGAAATGTGCTTGGGAAAGGCGATCATGTCTATGCCCTTCAGAATGAGGTTGTACGTCTGCATGGGGTCGGGAGCACTGAACGGTGGTCTGCAGAGTAGAGATTAACTTGATTAGAGATTCAGTAAGCTTGTGGTCATTTCTTTTACGTACGTTCCGTTGAGCAGCTCATGGATAAGGATACCCAATGCCCAGTAGTCCACGGCTCGATCGTGGCCCTTGTTCAGAATGATCTCAGGCGCCACATATTCTGGGGTTCCGCAGAAGGTCCATGTCTTGGCGCTTGTTCCGATCTGCTTGGCAAAGCCGAAGTCCACAATCTTAACGTAGCCGCGCTCATCCAGCATTAGGTTCTCCGGTTTCAGATCGCGATAGATGATCCCGCGGGCATGGAGATACTCAAAAGCCTGCAGTACACACCCAATGATGAACTGCGCCGCGTTGTCTTCGAAGGAACCTCGATCCCTAAGCATTGTCCAGATCTCGCCACCCATGCAGGCCTCGAGCAGCATATAGACGTACTTCTCGTCCCGGAAAGTGCGATACAATCGGCAGACAAAAGGCGATCTCGAACTGAGCATGATGTGGCGCTCGCTGAAGATGTGCTCCTCCTGCTTGGTGTCCACAATGTGCCGCTTCTTCAAGCACTTTAGAGCAAAGATGTCGACGCGGTTTTGATGGTGGGCCTTGACCAGCTCGACCCGACCGAATCCACCGATGCCCAGAGTGCTAACAACCTCGAGGTCCGTCAGCTTAAGGTCAGGAAACTCCTGCTGCAGCTGCTCCTTCGGCTCATCCTGGCTGCTTCCCCTGGCTTGCTTCATGGCCAGCATTCTGCTCTCATCTCCATAATCCTTTTCTTTCAGCTCGCACAGATCCCCAATCAGTCGCTTGAAGGAGTCCCTATCCAAGGTCAGACACTCCACTCCAGGTGATAAGGCGATGATGTTGGCCGTTCGCTTATCCTCGTTGATAAGCGCCTGCTCTCCAAAGTAGTCTCCTCGGGAAAGAGTTCGTAGCTCGGTTTCCTCCGAGGAGGTGGGTGTCAGCTTCTGGGTCACACGGACATTTCCCTGTGAGATCAAGAAGAAGCTGTCCCCGGCAGTCCCCTGGCGGATGATGTAAGTGCCAGCGGCATAGAACTCCAGCTCCAGAACATCCGCAATTTTGGCAAGCAATTCTTCACTCAGGTTCTTCAGGAGTGGCACCGATCTCAGGAAATTCACACTGTTCTCGATCCGCTGGAGCCCCGTGCACATCATAATCTGCTGGAAGACGCGTCTGTCGAGCACCCACACCCTCGCCGCTTCACTTAGAACCCGAATAGAGGCCGTCCTGGTGCAATTGTAAAGGATTGCCAGCTCCCCGAACGCCTTGCCGGGCCCGATCTTGTCCAAGACTTTTCCTTGCTGCATCACCGCGAACTCACCGGCGGCGGAGACGTACAAATGGGCACCTACTTCGCCCTCGCGGATCACAAACTCCCCGGCGGCAATGCTTTTTGAGTACATCGAGTCCACCAATTCTCGCACCTGAGATGCATCTATGTTTTTCAGAAAGTCGTTGTCCATAATGGCGTCTTTGATTTGTTGCTTGGCACTGGGGAAGATCAAGGTGGTTGGTTTGTTAAACTAGTTTCTTAAGAGGTGCGGGATAACTTATAAAGTAAAACTTTTGAAACTTACCTGAAATCTTTGTCGTATTTTGGAATCGGAATGCTATAGGACTGCTGCATGGACTGCACACAGCTCTCAGCTGAAACACCTTGTTTCTTAATAGCAGCAGGCATAGCCTTGGGTCGCTGTTCTTCAGTCGAGGGAGATGAAGATGTGGATGCCTTGGAAAATGCTTCCGAGTGGGGCAATGGTCCCAGAGAAAGCGCCTCCAGGGCGAACTCCGGACTGGTGGGCAGAACCATGCCGCAAGAGCTGCACAGATGAGGATCTCGATCCCTTTCCTCCTGCTCGCCACATTGCTCTGGCAAAGAGTAGAGCTTTGTTTTCGCCTTCTCATTCCGGCTGACGTTCAGGTTTTTGGTGGTCTGCTGGAGTACGCTCTGTAAAACGGGAGATGGGACACAGGAGAGGGTCAGAGATAGGAGCAACAATTGGCATGCGTCGGTTAATCAATTCCCGGCAATTGGGTGGCAATCAATCGATGGGGGCGCGTGAGTCCCTCGACTCCTCAACCCAACTCAATTAGGTGACCCACTGGGGATGGCATTCACGTGCTTTCACGATGACGAATTCCGGGATGGAATACACTGAGAGGAATTTTTGTAGCTAATTTTTGGAACAAAATTCCCTTTAAGATAGAGCAGTTTTCTAATTTTCTTATAAGAGGAACTGAAAATGAATGCTGACTTCCTCGTGTGGTGAATACTATTTTAGACAACCTTTCTTTCAGTGTATGCCAATTGGGTGCGTTTTTGGACGCCCTTATCACATTCCGTAAATAGAATGCTAAATTTTCCCCTTGGCGGCGTGACCCAAAAACAGCATAGATAAAGCCGTAGCCAAAAGGCAAATCCGAATCCGAGGCGCCACCTCAGAAAGTAGACCTAGTCATGGAGTTCCAGTTTCAATTCCATTTCCAGCTCAGAGGGTAAACATGATAAGCCGAATGTCAGGGCGAGGTGTTACCACCCTCCCCATCGCCAACCACCTTTTGCTTGTTTTCCAAATTATTTGCATAGAAATTAGCATTTCAAAAACACTCTTCGCTGGCCCAGCTCGCATTTCCTTTTTCTCGCTCGCCGCTCTGTTATTTCGGTTCTGTTTTTTCGAGATGCGCGTGCTGCCCCGGTCGGAACTATGTTATCTATGTATCTTTGTATCTCTGTTTACCCGCAAAGTAATCTGGGGATCCGAGGCATGAGGCCCAGAGGGGACAATGCTGGATCAACTGCTCGAGCTGGAGGTGATCCGGCAATTAGCGACGCACACTCGCGGGGCGGCTGAATTAAGTGTCGAAGAGATTTACATCTGCGGATTTCACAAAGCTTGGAAAATTTTCATTTTGACAAGACAATGTTATGATACCTCAGATAATTATGCCTCGAAGAATGGTTTTATGGAAAATCAAAAGGGCCTATCTGTAGATAGAGATATATCCGTTTCCCCGCACGGAGAACCATTTAAAGCCCCTCTAAAATATTTTAAAAAGCAAATTTCGCAGCCACTGCTCTCCGACTTTACAGCCCCAATTAGTGAGATAATGGAAATTAAATGATTTTCGGCTTCCAAATCATTCCAGAAGTGGCTACCGAGTATCTAGCAGTCGCAAGCTTCGAATTTTCACCGCTCTCTGAGTTCGGCTCTTGGGCTATAAAATTGCGCACGACGAGATCTCGCCAAGAAGTGCTAATCACTTGGCTCAATAAATCTGCCTTACAGTTTAAATATGTGTGGATAGCAGCGGGGGGTTCAAGTACGAGTATAGGTCGGGGAGGGGGTGGGCATTAGATAGATACGAATATCTAGTAGATACGCCGACAAGGGCATGGGTTAGCCCCTCTTCCCCTTTCTCCCCTGCGGTTCAGTGGGGTAGGCATGGCATATGTATGGGGTGTATCTGATATCTGGGCAGAGTCTGCTGCTGTTGCCCAGATAACGAAGTGATAGAGGAGGGGTCCGTCGGCGTGTCTATTTGCAGATACTTTGTATCTCTGCGATACACAAAGCGAATTCGAATTTAGTCCGAAAAATAGTGCGGTCTGGCGGCTCCTGCTTATCTGCCAGGGGCTGCAAACAAAAACAGAGCAAACAAAGCGATGCGATAGACAGCGATGGATGGCCTTTCCTAATATCCCCCGCCTGGATGATTTTACCTCCCCTACTCACCTTTAGTTTGTGGATTTCCCGGTGCAGCTTGACCAGCTCGCTCTCCCGACTCCGCACCATTTCCCGCAAGGCCTGCACATCCTTGGTCAAATTGCTGACGATCGCCTCCCTCTCCCTGTCAGTCAGCATAGCCGCGGCCATTTCGAACAGCTTCCCGATGGGTCAAAGTTCACTCAGTTGCCCAATCTCCTGCCTCGAGATCTACGATTTGGGTTTTCTCAACTACGGTTATTCCATTCAGACGGAGATGCTCCTCCGCTGCGATTCGCTGGCGGTTGGTTAGGTTGCGCGCGCGATTCGATGGCGACTGCCATCAGGCGGCGATCGACGCGGCGTATACGTGATTTATCAGAGAGAGAGAAAGGTAAGGAGAAAGAGAGGGCTGTGAAGTGAGAGAACGCCTAAGAGAACAATCTCGGCTTATCAGCTGAGTCAACCGGCACCGAAGAGCGCTAAGGCACTTGCAAAACTAACTAATTGGATATTTTCGTAAATTATTTTTCACAATATATTTAACCTGCTTTCATACATTAACTATATTATTATCATTTTTATTGGAAATATAAGAAAACTTTTTTTGTTGATGGTTATATAAGTATTCGGATCGACTTTAAAATTAAAGTCACAGTTCTAAATTAGTTAAAGACAAAAAGTATCGAAAAATATGTGCAAATACCAAAATCTGAAAGTATTTTTAACTTTTAAGGCAATTTAAATTGGCTTACTGCTGCCCCGAAAACAAAACACAGCCACGAAAGCCTGGCGTAATTTGATGATGACAGGCAACGCGACATCCACAGGAGGGCTGGTGATGGGTCAAAGGGTGTTAGGAGGGGCTAGAACGACCAGGATGTGACAAGGCAAGGGCAACTGCGAAAGCGAGACCTACAGCGTCCACAAAGCGTAAAAATGAAAACGAAAATGCGAAATGGCAGCCAGCAGATATGAAAACGAAAGGATGATGGAAGTAAAGGAAATAGGGGGAACGGATATAGTGGCCATAAGGTAGCCAGTAGCCAGTAGCCAGCATCCAGGGAGCTGACAAGCATTTGAGCATCCCCACTACAGTCTGAATTCCTTAATGCAACTATTCAAAGTATTGCGCTTCCCAGTGCAGAATATCAAGAAAGTTATAATTATAATATAATTTTTTAATACATCTTTGGGAAAGATAAATTAGAGGTTGTTTTAAGAGATTTCCGAAAGACAAAAAGAATAATACATTCAACATCAGTAAAGTCCTTCGATAATTTATTTGTGTAATTTCATTCTTGATTGCTTACTCTAAGTACCAAGCTAGAAATTTAAATTTATGTGCACTCGCTTCTGTCTTATTTGTCAATGCAAAAGTTCGAGTGGGGGAGCAGCAGCTTAAGTGAAATGCTGAGCAGTGAAGTCTAAGCCAGAGAAGTTCTGCTGTAGTTTTCCCTTGACGACTGGCGTCGGGCATAAACAATGTGAGATAAAATTGCTTTACAGCCATAATATAATTATAGTGGCCAACTATGAAGCGAGGACCACGGCGCGGCTTTAAAGCGAAAAAGCTGAGGGTGTTTTTTGGGTGTTTTTGGTGGCTGCTAAATGAAAGCGAAAAATAAAACCCAAACGAGCAAAGAATTTCGCTGGTGGCATCGCTGGCTTCACTGGCTTCAGTGGCTTCGGTGGCTTCCGTTGGCTGTGGCCCACATTTAATGGAGACTCGCATTCCGCCACAGACAGTGATATATCTGGATGTGCAAAAATGGAGGGATATCCAGCAGAGAGAACGATGTGCGGGCGACGTGACAACCGGCGGGCAAACTCCCCCCATTGCAAACTGCAAATACTAGACGGCGAGCAGAAGGATTAGCCAAGTTACAAAGAAACCGGAAGCGGGGCTCACACGGCGTATGCGCAATGATGCAGCAAATGATCTATTAAAGCATGGCCGCCAGTGGAGCCAAGATAAATTACCTGTGAGGTGAGCGGGAGGACTGCCGTAGGGCTGCTGAACTGAACTGAATAGCTCAAAACTTTGACATGCTGCGGTAATTATCTGCAGGGGCAGAGGCACCTAAGAGCAAAAAGCACCCAACGTTGACCCACGTGGGTACAACCACAGGTTCCAGGGATCCAAAGAGCAAAAGCCAGGGGACAGAGAAAACGGCGGGGAAAAACTTAACGTCAATCCAGCAGAGCCAGCTAATTAATGGACGCTAATTTCTGATGCCTGCAGAAAAGTGGGAGAGGGATAAACTGGTGATTGGGGGATTGGGGATTCCCCATGATGACGAGGCGGGCTTATCATAAAAGTTTGTCGCGCATTAAAAACAGAAACTGAGCACGAAAACAACAGATTTAAAACAAAGATTAAAAGCAGGGAGCAGCAATCATTTGCTAGAATAAATTAACTATTCCCGCGGATTTTCTCTTCGAAATAAAGCAAAACGTTTTAGCGTAGATAAGTGTATTAAAATTGGATTGTGGATTTGCGGCCTGCCAATATTTGCATAATAGATATCGCATGTCACACATTTCACAGCGGTGATTACAGCTGCCGAGGGCCAGAGAGCCTGGATTCGTTTTGCATTCCTCCGGCTGTCTGTCTGTCAAAGGAAAAGCCGGAACTGAAGGGAAAACAATGGGAAACGAACGCAAGACAAAGCCAAAACAAATGCGATTGACGCGTATAAAAAGCAGAGGACAAATCAAGTGGCAATCTGCGGTTATGAGCGGGTTCTCCCATAAACATTCCCCCGCAAAGCCCCTCATATGCATGCAGATCGTATGTAAATGGGGGCTTAAGCAGGCTTTTCCTGGGCATACTATCAACGTGTCAGCAAAGGAGCGGAAAAAAGGAGACCACTAGAACACACGGAATACTGAATACGAATGCGGCATGAGGTGACAATGGAATCCGGGAGATGTGAACAAAATCCCATTTTATACATTATTTTATACCATTTGTCCGACGAATCCGAAGACAACCACGCAAGTGTCCTTTCATTTTCAACCCGAAATCCGTGATTTGTTGCGAGGACACATCCCCGGAAAGCGACTCCCCTGGGATCGGTGCCGTATCTTATCGCCTTATCAACACAACATAACATTCGTTCGTGTAGTTATTCAATTAAAATCGGCTGCCAAAGGGAGAGGCCAAAGTGTACACCGGGGATTAATTCGAGGCACTCCGGACCAGGTGGATCCTTGTATTTGGCCCCAATCCCCTGGCTAACCCCACAATCTCCACCAGCAGCCATTATCATTGCCTTTGACCGGGGTCCTGACCCGCCGTCTCCACCTGCCATCCAGGCCATTCATTGTGGGCTTTTGTTGTTCTCCGCTCGTATTCGCATTCGTATCTCAGTTATTGCCTTTGCCATACCCTCTTATCCCAGGGAGGAAGAGTGTTTTCGACCACGAACACCTTATTTATTTTTATCGATGTTAGAGAAGTAAAAAGCCATTATTCGAATGACTTACTTTCGTTTTTAATATTTTGACCTGTATTTGTTTTTATAGGGTACCAGGCTGCCGATTCCCCTGACCTAAGTTCCTCTTTTTGCCGTTCTTTGTTCGTTTTTTGTCCGCTTCATCCCCGGCAAGATAAATGTAACATGTTTGTTTTGGCCCAAAAAAAACCTGGAATAATAAACCATCAGCAGGCAATGCATCATGTGTTGGCCAGAAGGTCAGCTGAATAATTCCAGGGCAGCCCGAAAATGTTGCGCCTAATTTAGTGATTTCTTCAGAGTGCACATATCGAACTAACCTGCTCGGGAGCTTGGGCATTACAAGCGCTTGTAAGCCTGTCACACGTCGAAAGGCAAAGAGTTGTTAAATTAATGAAAACTTCCATTACTTGAACGGAGAGGGACAGCTAAAAGTTTTTCACTTTGACTAGTTTTTCGGTCGCATAATAAAAAGTGCTTCAAGGAAATGTTTTCGAGATGCAATCTTGCTCAAGCACGCCTCTCTCGTTTCGCCACCCGCATTGCCATCCACTTTCCCATCTTTATGCATAGTTGGCGTGCTTTCTTGGCCTTTTTCTTCATGTCCGAAAGGAAAGAGCAACGAAATTTGTTGCAGATAAATTTAGATTTTCCGAATGGGTTTCGGTAGTCAGAAAGGAACACAGAAAAAAGATAAACGGCACTTTCGTACTGGTATTAGCAACTTCTTCTTTAAGATTGAAAAATTGTAGTAAATTCTTCCTGGATCTTTATCATCATCGCCATCTTTCTTAATTAATCCAACAGACTTCTGATCTCAATATACATATCTCCACAGTAATGTTAAATAAAAACCTATCTTAAGGAGACTTTAAATATTTTTCTAAAAAGCTTTCCAAAATAAGAAGAGCTAAGTTATTACCCGTTTTCTTTCAGTGCTCTGGGCAGTGCGAGAAAGTGGGCAAGTTGAGGATGCTGATGGCTGCCTGGTGCGTGTTTGTGAAGTTTTGCAAATTGCTCGCACACTCGCACACACACACACACACACACTCGCCAGTGGACAATGATAGATTAGCCACCCCATCTCTCTTACTCCCGGCCTTTTTCTCGTTTTTGGCCTTTTTCGAATGCGCTCGAGAAAACTTCAATTGGCAGTGCCAACATTTCTTACAACAAAATTAAACTGTAATTGAAAAAGTCAATTAAAAAGTTTCGCATTTCGTTCTCAATGAGCCCAGTCAGACATCCTGTCACGCCCCGTCGCATCCCGCAAAATGATGTTTGCTGCAGAACTTGCCGCCTGTGGGTATGCAACGAAAAAAAGGATGAATAAGGCCAAGGGGAATGCGAAAACTTTCTCCACCGACCTCCCTCTCCACCCAGTCGTCCCCTTTGATCCCTGAGGACTTGTGGATTGAGTCTTCAGTCGGATTGCAGAGTGTCAATTAGCGTGCAGTTTCTTTAATCCCTGTAATTGTCCACAATTAGGGTTGCACTGCGTTCACCAAACAATATGTTTAAATTTCTGAAGTCTCAGATATGAAGAAAGATGTGATAGATACAATTTGGATATTAAATCATCATTAAAAATAATACCTCTCAGCAAGACAACCGAAAAGATTCATTTTAACGAAGCGAACAGAAAATATCCTACGAAAGCTGTATTTTTAAGAGATTACTGCGCTCCTGCTGGCTTTAATGACATCTTTGTGATAAATTTATTTCTGGTGTTATTTATTGACAGAACTCAACTATCGCACGTCGCAGATAAACACTCAAAATTCAATAAATTTTAATGTACGGAATCAGAAGTAGAACGAAATAAGATTATAAGTGGGCATGTCCAATATAGTAGCAAACATTT